AGTGGGCTGGGGGCTGGGGGGGTGGGGTCATTGTTTGGCTTTGGCAATACCAAGTAAACTATTTGCCATGGAGCCATCAAGGCAAAAAAATCAGCGCATCAGGGTAAACCCCTTTCTAAGACTTAAACTCAAAGAGAACACATGAACAGTTTTATATGCTCACTAGCGAGCATCATGCGTAACTTGTGATTGGAAGTGGGGGAAATACAGCAAAGAAGATATGGGCTGAAACTGGCTATATTCCTTAGATACCTGATGACCTTGAGATGAGAAAGAGAAGAGGATGCACTGGCTGGTTTGAAGTTCAGGGAGATATGTGAACTCCTGAGCCAAAAAAACACTGACCTAAACCACTTGGGGTAGAGTAAGAATGAAGCAGCCAGCTGATCTGAAGAGGGGGAAGGCGTGTGAGAACTCCCAGACATGCAGAGACAGTACTCATTTGACCCAGCATGGATGGCTTGTCAATCAGAATTCAACCAGAGGAAGAAAATAAGTATGATACAGGGAGCAAGCATAAATTGCCACAAACTGATCAACTGAACCCTTGCTTATAGATAAAGCTGCCCCAAAGTCCAACCGAATCGGGAAGAATTCTTCATATCAAGGATCAAGCCTGTCTCTCTCCTCAATACACTGGGTTGAGAGGGATGGGCAACTTAAACTTTGGCTACCAAAACTGGTGGGCTATAAAGGCACAAAGTGGTTGGCTTACAAGTTTTCATGAAGGTGTTTAGTGTCAGAATGAGGGGAGTAAGACAAAAACCCTACTGAACAGTTTTCCTCTTGACCAGATGGGCCTGGTGATAAGTGGGATAGGATTTTATGATTCAGTTGTGAGTAATTGTTTTCAGGTCTAATGGTGATTGTCATACCTATAAATGTAAAAAAGGTACAATTAAAAGGGGGTAGGGGGACAGTTAACCTGTCATTTCAGGAACAGGGAACCCTAGGACCATCAAGAGAGAAGAACATGAGAGGAGAGAGGGATCCGAACCAGAAAAGTGGCAACAAGAGAGATGGTGGCAGAGGCAGTGACAGAGACAGAGCAGAAGAGGACTACAAGCCCATGGACTGAGAAAGGCCATGTATGTGAGGGCAGGAGGCTGGCATACAGAGTGTGCCCTCTGGACGTTTCAACAAATCTATTTTTTCTGTGTGGTATGTGTATATCAAAAATATAGGGGTGGTGACAGAGGTAAATACTTTTAACTTATAGTACATGGAGGGGACTATAATCATTGCAATGAAACCAAATATAAAATGTAAAACTGCTGATCTGCCCTATAAACTTTCACTCAATTAACAACAGAAGCCTAAAAGATAAATAAAACCAAATCTCTATTGTAGGATATTTAGAAATTGTGCTATTTCGCTAAGTTGCATGTAGTGCAAAGTATGAATATTCCTGAACACTTTATTGTTCTCAAGAGGAATCTGTACATAGACCAAGAGGCAGTTGTTTAAACCGAACATGAGAACACGAAATGCTTTTAAAATCAAGAAATACAACAGGGCTGTATTCTTTCACCATACTTATTCAACCTGTATGCTGAGCAAATAATCCGAGAAGCTGGGTTCTATGAAGAAAAACGTGGCATCAGGATTGGAGGAAGACTCATTAACAACCTGCGATATGCAGATGATACAACCTTGCTTGCTTAAAGTGAAGAGGACTTAAAACATTTACTGATGAAGATCAAAAAGCACAGCCTTCGGTATGGATTACATCTCAATGTAAAAAAAAAAACCAAAAATTCTCACCACTGGATCAATAAACAATATTCTTATCAACGGAGAAAAGATTGAAGTTGTCAAAGACTTCATTGTTCTTGCATCAACTATCAATACTCTCAGAGAAGCAGCAGTCAAGAAATCAAACGATGTATTGCATTAGGCCAATCTGCTGCACAAGACCCTGTTAAAGTGTTGAAGAGCAAAGATGTCAGCTTGAAGACTAAGGTTCGCCTGACCCAAGCCATGGTATTTTCAATAACTTCATATGTATGTAAAAGCTGGAGTGTGAATAAGGAAGACCGTAGAAGAATTAATGCTTTTGAGTCATGGTGTTAGAGGAGAATACTGAAAGTGCCATGGGCTGCCAAAAGAATCAACAGATCTGTGTTGAAGACGTGAAGCCGGAGTGCTTCTTGGAGGCCAGGAAACTTCGTCTCTCATACTTCGGACATATTGTTAGGAGGGACCAGTTGCTGGAGAAGGATATCATATTTAGTAAGGTGGAGGGTCAGAGAAAAAGAGGAAGACACCACCCCCTCCCTCCCAAGTGAGATGGATTGGCAAAATGGCAGCACTGAAGCATGGCAACAATTGTGAGGCTGGCCCAGGACCAAGCAATGTTTTGTTCTGTTGTGCATAGGGTCACTATGAGTCGGTACAGACTCGATGGCACCTAACAACAACAACAGTTATCATGATTAATTGCAAATGTCACAACTGTAAAGGTAGGAGTTTTGTAACAAAAAGAGGGCAGTAGTTAATCTTACATTCCAGGAGCAGAGGGCCCTAGGACCATCAAGGGAGAAGACACAAGCAGAATGTAGGACCCTATCCAAGGAAACAGTGATATCAGAGACGAAGACCTGGAGAGAGGGAGCAGCTGAGGACTCTAGACTCATGGAAAGAGAAAGGCTATGTGCTGCCAGCCAGGAAGTAGGCTTGCAGAATGTGCCATTTGGTTGTTTAAATTATTATATATTCCTGAGTGTTTTTGTGTACATCTCCCCCACCACCCTCCCAAAAACAACAACAGAGGGAATAAAAGCAAATACTGTTGAATGATGGTGCATGGAGGTGATTGTAATCATTGCAAAGAAATGATGAGTGTAAAACTGATGTTCTCCCATGTAAACTATCACTCAATTCACAGTAAAACCTTAAAAGAAAAAAGAAGCAGCACAGGTCTTGAAAATAACAAATTCAGAGAAAGTTGAAATTATTCAGAATTTTAAAGTGACAAATCTTTAACCTGAATTGGAAGCTCTCTGGACTTATGCCAAACAAATGTATTCTTAGTTACAAAGAAAATTTAAAAAATTAAAGAATACAGAATAATAATAGTAACTCCTTCAAAAACAAATGTTACCTTATACAGGGTTGCTATGAGTCGGGAACTGACTCAACAGTACTTAACGACGACAACAACAAAAAAGAAGTAAGGGGAGTCCTGGTGTGGTACTGTAGGTTAAGCACTGGACCTCAAGGTTAGAGGTTCAAACCCACTAACATCTCCACAGAAACCCTATATGGAGTTGCTATGAGTCAAAACTGACTACAGGGCATTTAACAACAAGAAGTAAGGATTCCCCCACTTTACAAAAGAGTATGACTTGTCACCACCCTCAGTTTCCCTTGGGGGTATGGTCTGAGTCCAAGATATATGAATGCTTTCGTAATATTCATTCTCTTGCTCTTGATCCTGCATCTGGCTCATCTTCAATCTGACTTTAGTTACTGGGATTTTTAGTCTATCACCTGTCCTGAATTCAACAGCTCCTGCAGCCTTGTGTATCAACAACCTGTTGTCTGACATCACCTTCCCCCCATTTGATATCCTCAGTCCTTGAGACCAAATGGGGGAGTAGAATTCTCCAGACTAATGTCAGAACTTCAGATTTGGGATTTGCCAACCTCCACAATTGCATAAATCACATCTCTAAGCGTTTGTGAGCTTTATAAGATGTTGCAGAGAATTGCAGAACTCTTGGAAATGAAAGAGGAGAAGATCTGGGACTGATATCAGGTGTTATGGGGAAAGCACAACATATTGGAAAAATCAGACATTTGGGATATCTTTCATCTCTACTTCATAGAGATCAGCCTTCTAAATGAAATAATTCTTGCCGAATTTAGAATTTAACATTGTGATTAACCAGTGGCACTGTGGGCAAATGCATCAGACTGCAAAGTCATTTGAGCTGCACAGTCAGTGGCTCAAGCTCACCAGCTGCTCATTAGAAACCCTGTACAGGGTAGCTATGGGTCGGAATCAACTCGATGGCACTTAACAACAACAACAGAATAATAAAGTATATTCTACAATAATAAAGTTATATTTATATAATTGTAACTCAGACTTATAAAACTGTCCTCTCTAGTTTAAAAATGGAAAAGGATAAACTGTCTTTAACAAAATGTAAGATAAATGATATTTATTTCTATTTTTAAATTCCCAATCTGTCACAGATTAATAATTTGTCAATACATAATAAAAGTGATTTAATTTAAAAAAAAAAAAAAAGAAAGAAAGAAATGTTAAAGTTCTCATAAGAAAAAAGTACCCCCACCCCTTCTAAACAAAACACTTTTTCCTGGAGTTGTAGAGATATAATTCCCACCAGTCTCATAAAACAATTAGTACATTTTTCTCTACAGCAGTTATTGCATACATTACAACTATTTCTCAATGTGTCTGCTTATACCTTAATAGCCTGGGAGCTCTCTGAATACAGATCAAGTCCTATGTTTACGTACCTCATCTCCAGTCACATCCAAGAACTTGGCACAGAAATTGGTAATAACGTACAAGCTGATAACTTCATTTATAATGAATAACGGGACCAAAGTTGTACAAGAACAACCGACTCTTTTCTAGCCATTTGACCTATCATTTGTTCTTCATATTTCTCCTATAAATACGATCTTAAACAATGTTCTTACTTACATGCTGCTTTGGTTTATTAATAGGACTTTAAAGTATCACCCTTTCCAAATGCTACATTGTATTTTTCCAGTCTACACACACATACATGAAATAACACATGATGTTTAAACAGGTCATCAGTGATTACATTTTACACGCAGCAAAACTGAAGCATCAAGAGATCAGAAATTTGCCAAAGATAACTGAAATGATACATCATGGGAAAAGACACAAACTGAGGGCTTCTAACTCCATATTAGATGCACATTCTACCACTTCAAACAATGATTTCAGACAAATAATCTTTTAACAAACCATCAGTGGTGCTAGAAATACTTACACTGACCCCAGCGCCCTGTTCTTGGGTTCAAATAATTTGGATAAAGACCATTTGGACGATCCATTTTCTGCAGTAGTTTTCGAATGTGCATGACCTAAACAAAATAAAATTAACAAAACACAGTTAACAAAAGTAAATGTCATCAAGGGTTTTTACTTTTCTTCTTCTCGCAGAATCTCTCT